TATTTTATGTGTTTGCATTCGGCTAGTTTAGCTCAATTTGATCCCTTGCTCCTTATACCCTCCACCTTTTGTTTTCTTCAATACTGTGTTCCTAACTCAATCATGAAAGGGATGTGTGGTCTCTAGCTAATTCTTTTTTAAACGTTACCAGGCGTACGTGATGCTATATGTCTGTTCCTTGATTAATTTATGCTCTTCAACTCACGAGAAGTCATCTACATAATATATGCGAATAGATAATCGATTTTATAAATCTAATTTTTGTTCATAACTGAATGGCTGAATCCGTTGTTGTTTTCTGTTTGTTATTCTCCTTCAAAAGTTAGGTCGTTCTACATAACACACTATTAATATTAATTTATTACACGCATGTGCTGTCAAACTTGGTTGACAAATTAATTATTTTTTCAAAGCCGGCACAGGACAGAGATCGACAGAGAAACATATGTTCAAGAATATTTCAATTCAATATAAGGCGATTTAACCTTGAAATTTCAAATTTTGTCATTTTCACCCTCGCTGTTTGACGCATCTCTAATCTGAAGTTCAGAAAGAAATAAATGATACTCCAAGAGAAAAACATGTTCCAAGGAAAAAGATGGGGAGAACAGAAACGTGTAAATTGTTGTGTTCATTCATCAGTACTTGAAGGTTTATATATACACAAGGAGAGAGTATATCCTAAATTCCTAATAAATACAAAAATATTTACAATAGATAAAACAATGTAAACATGGGGATTTCATCAAAACTTGTAATAGAAAAGCAAAGTTTTTATTTTTTTCGTGGGTTCTTAAAAAGCCACATAAAGCCCTATAAAAAGGGTTCTCGTTCATCATGTGATGAGGAATCATGCAATACATAATATGTAATCTTTATCAAAATACAAAGATTCGCACTAAAATGAGTCATGGGGTCGATGATAGGGCTCAACCTGACCCTATAAATAAATATGAGAATATTGTAAAAATTTGAAAATTAAATAAGAAGATGACGATAAATATTGACAGGTAACAATGGTTACAATTAAAAATAATAATAATAATCTTTTAAACTTGGCGGTCAGTGCACTGAATCCGTCCTGGGGTTGGCTCACCGTCCCCGTCGTTGGGAGACACGAAATTAATTGGACGGCAAACTGCAGAATATGATACCCACAATGGATGGAAGTGACTTGTGGGCATAGACAGCAACGGGATGAGGGGCGCGGCAAAGGAAGACGAAAAGGGCGCGTTTGTCTGCATTGGTTTAAAAATGCAGAATATGATACTTACGGGGAGGGGCCGACACATAAACAAGCGGCAAGTGATTAATTATAAAGGATGCACTCTCCATTATGATTGGTTCCCTCCCTCACATGCCTCCCCATTTTTGGAGAACGCTACTGCACCCAATCAATACCACCAACCGCCGAGTTTTAACCAGGAAGTTAAAATGCATACTAATGATGCCAATCAATTACTTAAATCATGTCATTGTGGCAATAAAACGGAAAAGGTCGGTTAGGAGGAATCATAGCATAATCTGAGAGCGCCATCCCTGGCTCAGCTGTGCAGGATCTGCATTCCGTGCTCACGGCGCGCTCATCAGCCCACAAAGCTGATCTTGCTCAAAATGATCTTTATCAGTTTAAATTAATTTTTAAATATTTTAATATTATATTTTGAAAATAAAAATTATAAACAATTATAAATAAGTTTTGAGTGTCTAAAATATATTTAGATATTCAATTTATAAAAATTATAAAAAAAATTTAATATTAAATTCGATCATTGAGATTGTATCTGAACTGTTTAGAATATATTTGAATAGTCAATTTATAAAAAATATAAAAAATTTATATTAAATTAGACCATTCAAATTAAATCTAAACTAATAAAATTGATTATTATCAACAAATTTATTAAAAATTTAATATTTTTATACATTTTTATTTTGATAAATATAAACTAAAAATAAAAATTTAAATCTGAATTATTCAGGATCCTATCAAAAGTAATGTGTATGATGGTGCTTGTAATGAGTACTAAAAGTAGTTCATATTTAATATTAAAAATTTTTATAATTTTTATTTTTATAAATATAATATTTAAAATATTTAAAAATTAATTTTAAAATAATGATTGATATCATTTTGAAATAAAATGAAAGGTTAAGATTAGTTTAAGACTGATGAGCACAGAATGTGGATCAATGCAATGCGTGTCTAACGCTCCCCCGTGGGCCCTCTCTCTCCTTTTCTTACCCACTCCCCAACATATTTTCGCGAGTTTAATTTTTAATCACGTGTGTGTGAAAAGTATCTCTTTCGAAAAACAAGAACCACCTTCAAAAATGATTATTAAACTGTAAAATTTTATGAAAAATAAATATAACAATAATTTTATAAAATATCAAATCTCTCTCATTTAAAAATGAATCCCATGATTCAGATGGAAAATGAAAAAGAAATGGAGAGGGGAGAAAATGGAGATAAGCCAAATCTATGAAATTGATCCTTATTGAGAGAGAGCCTTGGTATAAAAAAACAAAAAAGAAAAGAAAAGCAAAAAAACTAATAATTTAATTCTTATAATTTTGTTGGTTTAAAAAAAGTTCTTATAATTTTAATTTAATTGTAATTTAATTTATGAACTTTAATTTATATGAATTTCCTTGATTAAAAAATTGTTGAATTATAATTCAATTAAAATTATGGGGACTAAATGATTAATTTTTTTAAAAAAATTCCTTTCTTCTCCATTAACTTCTTATAATGGATGATTATAATTAATCATCATCCTTCCTCAATTCATTTCACACCTTTCAAGAAATGAATGTCTTCGCCGTTAAATATCTTGATATCCAATTACTTGATAATCTGTCAACATTTTTTTATTACATTACCAGCAGTCAAACTAAACTTTGATGGAGTTAGTGTTCATATACTTCACTCTTTACATGATCGAGAAAATTGGCAATCACTACAAGTAGGTGTACACTCTGCCTTCCGATCAAATTCATATTTCACTAGACAGATGGATGGTGCCCGGTGTCTTTTGGATAGGTATCTGTCTTTCTTCGGTCCGCTGGGGTGTACTGTAGCTGTAGTTTTCACAAGCAAATAGCTCATCAACTTCAACCTGGCAATTGAGATTTACTAGGGTGTGTGTGTGTGTATAAAAGGATCACAGTATTTAGTAATTACTGGACCACTTGATAAGCCCAGGTGCTGATGAGTTACGAGGTTGCAGTCACAGCATGTGGCAGGCGAATCCTCTTGTTCCGTCCACGTGCCGCACGCGCCCCTTCCTTAATTATTCTGATCCGCAAGTCAAAATATTGTCAAACCACACACACACACACACACAAACGATACACGCACACGAGCGGTAAACACAACGACACACTGAAACGCGAATAATTTTGCATCTCCGTCATAGTCGGTATGAATCCCCTTTTCATCCATATATATCTTTATTCTGAACGAAGCAAAAGCAACCGTTTGCCTATATATACATTAATCCGCTTACCATTGCTTCCGTGTGTGCACACACACACACACACATATATATATATTTGTTCCGATTCTTTGTCCTTCGAATTCCTTTTTCCTTTTCATGAGGCAATATTGGAATTAGCTAAGTTTGAATAGTAAATGAAGATGATTGGAATGGCAGTGTCAGCTGGATATAGATGAGAAGGAAGTGCGGTCTGCTGGTCGACAGGGAAAGGGGTAAGAAAGATACACAGGAGAAAGTAGTTGGTCGAATCACGTCAGTAATGTAATTTTGGTGATCAAGGCTTGGCATTACGCTAGACGTGACTAAACCAAATCCTGTCGACACCTGCTGTTGCTTCTTTTGCAGCCAAAAATGACTCAACCAGGAAAAATATATCAGAAAGAGGACAGCTAAATTAATTACACCGGAGCTCCGGAGACAATATTAGAAGATGGGAGTAATGTTGCTCAAATTAAAGCAGACAAACCACCACCAGGTTACAAAGATAATTAGTTAATAACAAAGGAACATTTTGATACTGCCACGTCCAACAGTGGCCGCGCGGTTGCTGCTACATGTCTGCATAATTAATAAGAGGAATCCCTCTTTATCCATGGAGAGACTGATTAATCTGGCAGGTTAATATAATTAAATAGCGAATAGTGAGCAGTTGTGGTGTGGAATTGGAACACAAAGAACGTGTCTCAACAAAAAGCGCCTGAAAGAAAATGGGTTTCCGACAGTGGCTTCTGCAAATATCCGAACGGGCAGATTCCTAGTATTCTAGTTTGCCAACATTTACTCAGCATCGTCCACTCCTACTGCCGACCTTTCCTAGAACTCCATATATATATATTGAGTCGTATATACTATATTTTTTATAAAAGATATTGAAGCTGAGAAACGAAACATGGTCAAAGTTGCAAATAATTATAAAAACAAAGTCTAAATTGAAATAAAAGGGCTCATTATTGGGACTTGGGAGGGTTGGGCGGCAATAAGCAGTGACAGGCGACAAAAAGCGAGGAACAGCTAGCTCAGTCCTATCTTACGCCGCATGTAAGTCTAGCCTCTTCCCACCGTCACATGTACAGTTCTACACTCGTGTGGTTGTTGAGTCTTTCTTCTCTCTCTTTCTTGAAGTCCGTGCAGAGTTTTAGGAACAATCATTCCAAGTTTTTCCCCTCACCTTTTTTTTTTTGGGGGGGGGGGGTTACCAGAATATTACTCACAAGTGCTGTGTAGAAAATTCGTACCCCAAAAAATTCTAGACATTCGAGGGGTATCTATGCGAACATGTTTCCCTTCGGACGACTTTGAGATTAATTGCTTCTATCAACTCAATCCCTTTTGATCTCATTTCTTACCCGAGTTAGATATAAAAAAAGTCCACGCCTCTTTCATTAAACTATTCCCCACAAAAATCAATTCCTTAATCATTATATTACTAAATTAACCCAGCACCCCCATCTCTGTCTATCATATTATTAATCATCACCCCCCTCCCCCCATCTTCTTCCTCCCCTCCCTTATATATATACATACACAGACAATGCCACCTTCTCCAGCTGCGACTATCCTCCTATACCTGTTCTTTATATTCATCATCCTCATCCTTTTGCATCGATCCTTCCTCAGCTATGGTTGTTCCTTCTTCAAATTCCATGAGAACCAAGAAAACAAATGCCGTGAGAATTCCGACCGTGGACCTTTCCTTGGAAAGGTCAGAGTTATTGGAATTGGTGATAAAGGCCTGCGAGCAATATGGTTTCTTCAAGGCGGTGAACCACGGCGTGCCGGAGGAGGTCATTTCCAGATTGGAAAATGAAGGAATTGAATTCTTTTCCAAATCCACCTCAGAGAAGCGACAGGCTGGTCCGGCCGCACCGTTTGGTTACGGTTGTAGAAACATAGGCCCCAATGGCGACATGGGTGACCTCGAGTATCTTCTTCTTCATACAAATCCTCTCTCCATCTCTGACAGATCCAAAACAATCTCCAACGACCCTAACAACTTCAGGTACTAGTTACTACCGCTGCTTTATTCCTTTATCTTTCTACCATACACGTCTTCATTAACTACATCTTACAATAATCACTCTGATGACACGTTTGCTCTTGCATATTAAAACTCACAACTCATAGAACAAACACAGACGCAGGCTTCACCAAACATTAATCTATAATATATTGATTTTGACTTGAATTTATAGATAGCAAAACCAATAAGAGGAAGGGGAACAAGGGCTTTGTGTGTGTTTCTTATATGCCAAGCAGGATGGCGGGCCTGTGCTGAGTAGGACATAAATAAATTTTCTTTTTTCACGTTATGCTAACTTTTCGGCCATTACGAGTTGTGAATTTTAATAATTCTAGGTTACTGACAGCTGGCCAATGAACAGCATGTATAGTTTAAGATGATTTTGCCCGCTAACTGATGTTTGTTATATGTCCTAGAAAAGACATCTTTTATTTTCTCGTTGGAAGGGGTAAAAATGGTCAGGATATTGAGCTCTAGGCTTAATTTTGTAAATCCATAATAAGCTGATATTGTCTCGACTTTCTATTTTTGAATTGATTGGTTGCGTATATTCCCGTTTTCATGTTACTGATTCGTCTACGTGAAAGCGACTTGCATTGTGTTATATACCTTAGAATTAGTCGGCCATCCCACTCTGGTTCCCGGCTTTCCACGGGGTCCTCCACTGATCCTGATCCGTCTCTAGGTTTTCATCACTTAACATCGTGATGATTTCCCCACCCCTATTTGTAATTATCTGATTGCCTCTCCGCGTCTACCACTTAATTCCTTGTAGTATGAAGCTTGCTCACGGCTAAATTTTCAATCCATTAAACAATATTTAGAGTTGAAAAGGTTAGCAGTAACACGTGCACTGCCACATGCAGATGTTTCATTGTGTATTCGAAAAATGTATAAATCAAACTAAATTGCACATGCATGCTTTTGGTTTGTTGTTTTTTTAAAAATAAACATATGCTTTTATATACACTGACATGGCTTTTGTTCTGTAAAACTACTGTTACGCCGGAAGAAATGGAATAATTCTGGAGGAATATATTAATAAGCAAACTGATGAGATTAGAATCAAATATAGAGGGGCCGTGTTGCCAATGTGATAGAAGTAGAATCTGCTTCCTTAAGATGCATGGAAAATTGGCAATGTTAAAAATAGCTAGGTAGGGCCCCCGCCAGACAAACAAAATATAAACTGTGGGCAAGTATTTGGCCCCAGCGGGACCGGCTTCCACCGTGTCCACTATTCTACTTATTCTTTCCAGGAAAATCATCCGATTACTGCTGGCCTTTTCCTCGCAAATCAACAAGTGGAATTGCTTAACATCTCGCTTTTGAGCAAAAAACTCATGATTACTTCTGGAATGCATTCGTGAAAACTCCACGAGCAACTAATTCTCTTTTCGCAGTAGTTATATATGAACCAGCCAATCCAGTACTCACTAAGAACTAAGAAGGACAGAAGTACAACTTGGCAAACACTGGGGTATAACACATATAGGTTTCTACTTTGGGCGAAACGCCAAGCAAGCACATAATCAAGTCGCTCGAAGAAAATAGATTCTGAGCCAAAAGTCAGAAAAACATCTATAACATGAGGATCAACTGGAGAACATATAAATGTTTCAGAAAAAAGTGACAAGATGGGTAGAGAAAGCGTGTGTGGGAAGGAGAAAGAAGAAATAGGCAGCACGAGTGATGTTTTGTTTGCATATGATGCAGTTGCGCAGTGAATGATTACATAGAAGCAGTGAGGGAGCTGGCTTGTGAGGTGGTGGAGCTAGTGGCGGAGGGGCTGTGGGTCCCAGACAAGTACGCGGTGAGCAAGCTGATCAGGGACGCGCATAGCGACTCGGTGCTGAGGATCAATCACTACCCTCCTACCAAGAGCAGCAGCAAGTGGGAGCCATCGATTGGGTTCGGGGAACATTCTGACCCTCAGATCCTAACGATCCTACGGTCCAACGAGGTCGGTGGACTCCAGATCTGCACGCAGGAAGGGCTGTGGATCCCAGTGGCCCCGGACCCCACCGAGTTCTTCGTCATGGTGGGCGATGCCCTCCAGGTAGCTAATCCATCAACTCTTGATGAATGAAAGGACTGTGAGTAAATGAATATAATATAATGGAATAGTGAATGAGCAGGTGATGACGAATGGGAGGCTGAGGAGCGTGAGGCACAGAGTGATGAGGAGCACGATAAGGAAAGGAAGAGTGTCGACGATGTACTTTGCGGCGCCGCCGCCGAGCTCGTGGATAACTCCGCTGCCGAAGATGGTGTCAGCTCAGAGGCCGAGCGAGTACAGGCCCTTCACCTGGGCTCACTACAAGCAAGCCGCCTATTCCCTCCGCCTCGGCCACTCTCGCCTCGATCTCTTCCGTGCAAAACATCCCCTCCTTCTATAGCACTTTTCCCATCTCTCTCTCTCTCTCACATTCTCTCTCCGTGTATTTTTAGGCCTGTGACTTATAATTGTACGTATATATTTTTTGTAATTAATATTATAACAGATATTTCCCTCACAAAGACCACCCCGTCTTAATTACTCTCATGCTCTTCTTAATTCGATCAACTTGCCAAATACATTCTTCACAATTCACTAGTTTGATCAATTATGAAATTACAGTGACGAAATTAAAATGATTTAATTCAGACTCCTTGAAGCCATTTGTTGACAGATTTAAAAGTTATTGGATAATTTGCCTCCACTGCACAGGGAAGGAAGATTATTGTGTAGGAAAAAAGTCGAACCTGACCACAAGGTCAAACATAGTTTCATCTTCGAGGCGCGCCTTCTTCCCGTATCAACTGCATCGTGCCAGTATTAATTCCGTTTCAGATCATTCACTCGAGTGAGTAGGCAGCAATTCTTGAAGCTTTTCATGGATTTGATTTTGATTAGGTATATACCTATGACAATGGCGTCTCACCAACATCTCGGCCTTTAGGGCTCGTAAATTCTTGAGAACGTTTGTGTCATTACCATTTGACCAATATTTTGTTCAAGAGTTAAATAATACTATATATATACCACCGATGAAGACGTTTGCCCCGATTTTTAAAAAAGGAAAGAAAGACATGTGTCGTGTGTAACTAATTAATGCGATCAAGGGTCACGGAAGGCCTCCTTACTGGAAAGTGAAGGCTTGTTCAGCATCAGCCTTACCAACTCGGACAAAAGATCTGGTCTTAGTAATTCCATCAACCAATTAAGGTGCATGCTTTCATCTTCCCGAGGTGGTTTAACTACACAACGGCGCCAATTAAAAACATTTCCCCGGATAGCATTTTTGGTGAAGTGTAACCTTCCTCGCCGTATCTGTAACTTTGAATCTATACAGCCCGCAGAGAAAGGTCCATGGGACGTCGCTTGTTAATAAATACATAATTCCAAAGTTAGTTAAACTGTATTTTCATGATCATGCCCAGGAATGGATGAAATCTATGCCAAATTCTCTGAAGAGTCAGTCCAACAAGTCAAACAAGATGATAACCCAAAAGTAACCATCACGAGGTTGTCCAACGCTCTTTGACTTATGACGACTAATTGGACGGCCAACTCAGATTCTTAAAAATCTTGCAAGGTAAGATTTTGCATGCATGTAATATAGTTTCAACTTTGAATCTCAAATATAATATACACTTGTCTTGACACTCATACATGCAAACTGAATGAAGCAACTGCTACTTTCGCCAATCTTTATAATTTAGTCACCAGATTTTATTTCAGTAAGAAGGGGAAAACCCAACACAAGAAAGTGGAAGAGGGATTGTTGTACAAGCAATTAAGAAATTGTCCCGTGAGGAGAAGAAATGTGGGGTTTTGTAGGTTAGGATGTTAGAAATATAAAAGGGAGACGAAGGTGAGAGGAGGACATGTGTGAAAAACATAATATCTTAGCTGTGCGGCAAGATCTTGAGAGCACATGCGCAATCGCTTCCATCATGGCTTCTATCTGGCTATTACTGGAAGCCTTGATAAGATGGCGTGAGGGCAATGATGAACTAGTTGTGCCGATGGAGGAGAGGTGGAAGGAGAAGGCAAAAGGGGAGTTAGGAGGCATCATGAGGGCCACGAAACAAAGCCAAGAATGGAGCATCAGCAGGGACATCCTTGATTGCTTCCGGAGCCGTGACCGGCAGACCCAAGCCTGGGAGCTAGGAGAGCCTGGCATTTGGCCTTAAAAGTAACCAACTAAAGCATGAAACGATGTTCTGTTCTCCATGTCTATTATTATGTTCTCGTGTTTCATTACCGTAAAGTTTGCTACGTTGACTAGGCATGATCGATCAAGCTAGCCTATCCTAGTAGTATATAGTCTGTGTTGCGCTTGCGCAAGCGTGCCGTTCCATACCAGTTTCCATCTTATGCTAGAAAATTTATGGTGATAAATCGACGGGTGGAAAATTATTGCTATGGATTAGCGCGGATCTTAATTTGAAAATTGTGAGCCATAAACGAACGTTATGCGCAGCTAGCGTAATTACAGGGGCACGGGCCACAGGGCATATGTAGTCCCAACACAAAGGCTTGGTAGCATTAGGCTCTCCCATCGAGCTTCAAGGGTAGCTCCTCATCCATACTTTGCATTTTTATCTCATCTGTACTCTGCTGCATATCTCAACCCTCTAAAGATGGACTATATACGTAGTCTTCCCCCCAAATAATTTTTGCTTTAAAAGGCCGTACGAAAGCTGCTCATCACGTCAAACATCATTGTTTCAATTGGCATTTGCTATCAATTTTCTCCTACATCATGGAGGGTTTTATTTATGTAGAGATTGAGGTTTATATAATTAGATTTATTTTAAGAGTCTCAGCTTATCGCAGAAGATCCCAAAATAAAACTAACCAACAATGATGCTCAAGCTTCGTCGGGGTCTAACTAGATAGAGGTCCTTCGGAATTTGCTGGCGGCCCTCTTACTAAACCTATAGCCGCTTCATTGTGAATCAAGTCCAAATGCCCACTTACAAGAAACTTGGCAGATGGAGGTCTTGTGGACTCTTTAATTTTAAATTGGGAATGCTGTATCACATACAGGAGCCTTTAAGCCCTTTTAGTGTAAGCAACGAAAGCATTTGGAAAGCAAGAAATCTGTGCTTATCTCAATTATACCCTGTTGAATTGAAACAAGTTAAAAATAAATTGAAACAAAAAAGTGTCTAAATTTCAAAGGAAAAAAATGCTGTGGGTGACGATAATTCAAGGCACGATTTCATTCAAATATCAAGGAAAGTTCAACCGAGCATGTCTTCATGTACTATTGGACAGCAAAAGCGTCGAAGTTAACCTCAGGAGCCACGTGGACAAAGTACCAAGGGAAGTTTTTTAGGTCACGTAATTATATCTTCTTCCACTTCCCAAACCCAAGTTTAATTCGAGTTCAGACAGAAATCTCCCATAAGTCCACATACAATACAAACCCACTACCATTTTTCAACCCCCCCTCTCCCTACCAATACTGTATGCATGATGGGTGGGCTCCGCTTACCAGCTCTCTGCTATTATCACTTTAATTAATCAAACATTTTGCCCGTTGAGTGAACGCAGCTAAGGGACCGTGCATGATACATGCGAAGAGAAAAAAATGAAGAAAAAAGAGAGTTGACTGCGTAAGAAAGATGGCAAAAATATTGTTTGAACAAAATGGTTTCAAAGGTTACGGCCCCCAAGTGGCATACTTCTAGAACGTTGTTGAATTTAAATCAGGCCTATTATACTGTTCACTGCTTGTTTTTCATTTTCTTGGCACTACGTCAGTATTTAATGCCAGCCGCCATGGCCTTTTCATTTTCTTCTCCTGCTTCCACATCACTTCCATTGATTAAAATTAAAAGTCAACCCAACAACAAGTCATACATTAGTCACACGTGCAACATTTCCAATTTGTGCAGAAGCAAACTTAACTCCTCATCTCTCAATCTGAATCCTAATCAGAATGTCTACAATGTGTTGTGTAAACTCACGTACATGCTCTTGAGTTCATTATAACAGAAGTTGGATCAAATCTCATCAGATTGCTGCTGTTGCAAGAACCATATTTTTTCCTACTGTTCACAAGTCAAAACCAACTGTCGCCTCAAATGCTAGCATCCCCGACGATTCAACTTGTCTGTTTACTGCTGTAAAATCGCGACACACGCCGGAGTTGGAGAGAGGAGAAGCTTGCGCATGAAGAAGTGCAGACTCGGACTGTAAGAACATCTCTTGTGAAGCCCAATGCTCTTCTACTCAAGTCCAGTTAAAGCAGGCCCAATTACCCTACGTTGGCTTCTGCCTTACAGATATTTTATGGACCTTATTGTCTTTTATTCCTTGATATTTTTACCTGTACATGCTGTAAAAGTCATTCTTTGTATTAGGGTTTTTACCCTACCTCTATATAAAATAATAAACAGGCCTGGCACTGTGCGCCTCTTTATTCACATTTTCCTTTACTGTCAAATCTTATCTCGGACGAAGGCAACGCTGAGAAGCAAGGATCACTTTGCACTTGCACATGGTGATTAGACCCAGGTGCGGATGAGGACGAGGAGGCCCGGATCCTCTCCAGGAGCCGAGGCATCCATACCAAACGCAAGGCGTCTCTGAATTGTTTGCTATCCACGTCACATTTCATTTGCAACAGCAGGTGTTGCGCTATTTTCGACCACCTTTACAACAAGATAGTAAAAACCAGATAGAGGCTCATTTATTTCAATCAACGTATTGCTAACTGACGATACAAGTGACGAACTTAAGGTTAATCGCAGGTGTATGATATACCGATTGCCCCAGCGAAAATGGAGATCGAGGATCAAGAGCTGCTCCTGGAGGGTGATTTTCCCGCGTCGAACGTTTGGCCTCAAGTAGTTCAACCATCTTAATCTGTAGCTTTTGCCCGTTCGCTTTAGACCTGTCCCCGGTTATTATATCTTCTTCAACTTTTCAGTAACTAACGACAGGAGTATACTATCACGAAGCAAAATAGATATTTGAAAAAGGCTGGGGCTGGGGGGTAACTTAACTGAAAATTACAAAAGAAAAAATAATGAATACTTGCCTGAACAGAGAGCAACAGAGTTCCATCGGCCTTCGCCGCGAAGGGTGACGAAGTTTCTCAGAATAGAATCCTCTTCCTCTGTCCATGCACCTTTCTTTATTTCTACTGTCTCTTCTTCACTGCCACACGCGGCGGATGGCCAAGAATCCCATATACTTCTCATCATGGGATGCTGCATATTACAGTCACTTTGTATCGGTCTCTCTTGGTTTGGAGTAAGGAAGGCTCCAGACATACAGTTCTCAAAATGAATGTTTTGGTCTAATTATATAGTTCAGCGCGCTTAAGAAGCAGATTATATATAATTCTCAGCTCAAGCTGGCATTGGATTTAGAACTAACTGCACTGTTCAATTAAATATTTGCATCTCATATGCTCGTCATCAATATATGATTTATACATTTTATAACGAAACTAAGCCTACTATTTGATGACTTGAACATAAATAATCATATCGGTGGGTCTTACAATCCAAACGTTAGAGTAGTGTCAATAAATAAGGATATTAATTGAACAAGGATATTAAAATACCTCTTGACATGTGCGCGTTTGATGATTTTGACCTTGTTAGTTCGAGCTTCGCCCCTGGCTAGTGACTGGTCGTTTTTTTTTTCCCCTGCGACGAATGCAACAGTCTTCATGGACTCAGAAAGGGAAAACCCGCAGCAATGTGGGGTGTAGATCATAGCCGCAGCAATCCCGCAGTTTCAGAGGGAACAACTGTAAAAGTGGAGGTGGAATAGCTGTAACATGAAACCCCACATCTTTCCTGCAAACTAGCATTTGCATTTGAGTGAGCACACTGTTTGCCTTTCCACAGAAGTGCTTATTTCAACTTCCCAGAGTCTTCCCTGCAGCCATTTGATCTTTTCTGCATTAGTCTGTTTTCCTTGCTTAAGCCCCTGTTTCAGCAAGTATTTCCCACATTTCAGTATTTTTAGCAAGGCTGATCCCTAGCTAATCCATATTGTCATTAACAACTCTGATGACACCGCCACTGCTGCATACCAGAGATTTCCTATGACAGCACTATCATCGTTCGATTTCACCCATACGCAGCATGCATCTCGCATTAATACATTCTGTCATCTCAGGATTAATGGAGAAATCATTTCCTTAAATTCCTAATCTGGATCCTCTGCAAAATTCTATGGGACTAGATTCCTGGTAGCTACAAGAGATTCAAGTGTTTTCCAGTTATCGTGTTGCCCAATCGTTGTTGATGCGAGGGACTAGATATACTGGTTAACGAGACTTGCAGCTTTAAATTTAAAGATGCCATCCTACTTTAATTGAATTACTGATGGGTAGTGATTGACAAACTTTCTCTAACGGTTCATGGAAATGCGTTTGTCCGACATTGTTTATACAAATGGAATCGATTCTGCTCTGCCCTTCCTCTGTCCTATGTTCATCGCCTTCTGATTAAACTGAGCAGCATATGTCCCTGAAGATACATAACTCTTGACCTCACTCCCCGGCCACCATCAGTTACGTGCGAGGTGGATGTGCTATAAGCTCAACTAAACGATGTTTAATGAAAAACACGAGAGCAGATTCAGCATCCGCATTCCGTGCTCGTCATGCTCATCAGTTGACGGGCTCATTTAACTTTTTTTTTTTTAATATTACACCCTTAATTTTATTATCCATACATTTTAATATTTTTAATATTATATTATTAAAATAAAAGTTTATAAAAAAAATGAAAATGTTGATATTAAATTTGGATTGGGTACAGCGTTCAAAGGATGAGTACTCATTTCAATTGATAAAATTTAAACTATTCAAATTCAAAATTTTTTATTTTTGCTTTATATTCATTAAAATAAAAATTATAAATTTTTTTATTAAATTTATTTATAATTAATCTAATTTAATATTAAATTTTTTTATATCTTTATAATTTAATTATTCAAATATCCTTTATACACTAAGATGGTTTAATTTAATATTAAAATTTTTTATATTTTTATAAAATTAACTATTTAAATATACAATGTAGATTTAATATTAAAATTTTCATATTTTTTATAAATTTTTATTTTAATAACATAATTTTAAAAGTATTGAAAAAATAAATTTAAAATAGACATCAAATATTAATTGATGACATTCATGATGCAACTTTAACGGCCTTTTTGAATTCACTTTCACCCTGATTTATTCAAACAATCATGTGCAAATCTCTCCTTGGTCCTGTTCATCAATTAGTTTTAATTCTCCATTTTTGACGGCCTTTCCCTTAAAAAAATTTCATCAATTCCTTGTTTATTTATTACTTAAGAATCACGGCTATGATGGATACCAATTCATTTTCCCATTCCTTTTCATCACCATCATGATAAATAACGCCAGATGGACGAGCCAGCAGAGGACCAGTTTGGCAGAAGGGACTCGCTACCCCTCCCTATACCATCCTTTGTGGATCTTTTTTCTTGTTATCAGTATCTCCGGATTTCTGCCCTGCTCAAATTGACAGTCCCCCTCTAGTTTACTTCTCTTTCGCTAAACTTAACAATACGGTTGTCCATCCTTTTACCAGGAACAATTCTCCTTCAAAAGGTGTTTAGCAGCATTAGCTGGAACAAATATTAGCCTTAATGATCCTGTTTAAATAAAAGTTTAAATTTTTTAAATTAATTTTTTTTAAAATAATTAAGTCCAGCTCTCATAAACTGCGAAAAAAAGCTTGAGCTTGAGCTTAGATAACCCTTCAAGTTTTAGTAAACTTGTTTATACACATACATACATATATTTAATTAATAATAACACAATTTAATTAATATTTATTATAAATAATAAAAAAACTGTAAAAATAATTAACATTAAACCTCCACCTTTATTTTTAACAAATAAATGTACATTTTAAAAAATTTAATATTTTATTTTTAAATGATAATGAAAAGGATTAAAATTTACATTAATAAAGATTATCTTCATCTTAAATTTAAAATTTTAAATCTTTACCAAATTTTATGTAAAATTTTAATTTGTTTTATGTAAAATTTTAAAATATTTCATTTAAATTAAAAATGTTATTTTTTTTTTGTTTTGATGAAAGAGGACTTAAAAATCCGACTCCAAACTACTTAAATAAGGGCTGAAACTTAAAATTATATCTAATTTTAAATAATTAGATTCTAGGATAAGTCCTTTGCCTGATTCTCACCACTAATTCTAGACACAAGGATCTGTAACATATAGCAACTACTCATAAGTCATCTCGAATCCAACAGTTCTTATTGTTAACAAAAGACGGTTCCAGGTACCTGCATAACCAAAGTCAATGCATTTCTGAGTACAAACAACCATTTATTAACAAATTATCAGAGGTCAGATCAACCAGATAGTGAATGAGTCCGCCAGCTTATTTTTAAAAACTGAACAAAAATTTAAGAGGTCTCAGACTATTGAAGACATCATCTCACCTAAAACAAGATCATCAGCCAATGTAGGCAATTTTAATTCATCACTGACCTCACCCATCGAATCTAATCGAATACAATGATTGAGTAAGAAAATCATAAACAGAACGTCCGCAAAATTTACGGTTTACGAGATTTAAGCGTGAAGCGCGGGGAGGGATCGATGATATAGAGGGGAAAGAGAACACTCAGTAGTGGCTATGGAGTAGAAGGTTCGATTCTGCCAGCAATCTTCCTCAACTTGAAATATCAGAAGAGGGAGCTTGTGTATCCTCATCGTGAATTCTCTTTTCCCCAGAGTAAGAAAACAGAAAAACTTTGAATAATTTGAAACCGAACGGGCAAAAAAACATCAGGGAACAATAGAAAAGAAAAATAACAAGGAAGAGATCACTCAGGTCAGCGGGGTGGTCGACACGCAAAGTATCATCCCATAATAGAGAGATCCCTGCATTCCGGTCTGTTGAGCTTGAAATTTATGGAGTCATCACCGTGACCTCTTCCTAAAGATAAAGAAATCAGACCAAAAGATGAGAAATTTGCATACCAAGAAAGAAAAGAATGATTTTATAACAAAATTAACCAAGAACCGTGATCGACATGACCGCAAAGGCGATGAAGACGGCTGCTTGAAGAAGCCGCGCACGCTTTCTGAATTTATAGGACGAAAGCATTTTAGGGTTTCAGAGAGAAGCGAACTATCTAGAATAAGACGCCGTCCGTTCTTCCCCTTTCTTGAATTTTTTAGGATTTCTTTTTTGAATTGAAAATGAACAAGCTGACGAATAAAAACTTATTAGAACTTGATTATTTCGGTTTATCCTATAAAAAAACTATTTAATAAATTTTTATGATATTTATTTAAAATTTTAAAATATTTAAATTTTAAAAAATAATTTTTATTATTTTTAAAAAATACTTTAAATAGTTTCTAAAAATAATATGAGAAAGAGTATTTTAAAATGATGAGATATGTGAAGACATTATAAAATTTTAAAATAATAAAATAGTAAATAATTTTTATTAAACAGAAATTAAAAAAGATATTATAAAATTTAACAATAATTAATTAATAATTATTCTATTATTATTGCAACCAAATATAAAATAATTTTTTATAAATTTTTCATAAAATAAATATTTTTTTATAAAATCTTTACAATAACAACAATAAAATTTATTCTATTAAATGTACTATTTTTATAAAATTTTTAAATTATCTAAAAATTACTTATTTTTAATCTTAAACAAATAGGTGATAATTTCTTATTTTATGTTTTATAAATAAAAATTTATGCTTTTTAAAATAATTTATTATACAAAACATAGAGTAAGAAAATTATCATTTGTCTATTTAAGATTGAAAAATTAATAATTTTTAAATAGTTCAAAAAGTTATTAAAAATAGCGCACCTAATATATTATTTAAAAAATTTATAATGTCTTTGCTTATTCTATTAAAGCCCTCTCTCATTTATTGTTCTAAATTATTTTCAAAATTTATTTAAAGTAATTTTTTAAATAATTTTTTTAATATTATAATTAATTTTAAATTCAAATAATTATTATGAAAGATAACAAAATAATTTTTTAAAAAATAAGCAATTTTTTCGTAAAACAAACTGAAACATCTCGATCTATTAAATTTTAATAAAAATATAATAAATATATTTAATTTAACTGGAATAATAATCATCTCATCTAATTTAAGTTATTTACTTATTATTTTATCATCAAAATCTGTGTGTAATAAAAAATTAAAAAATTTTAATTGCCAGAAGTATTGTACAAGGAGCTATTCTGGGAGAGGTATCCAATAAATCATATTTGCTTGGGAAAAAAAAAATGATTAGTCTACATTCCACCGGCCAGACGTATTGTAGTATTTGTTCCGCATCACAGAAATGAGAGCAACTTTATATCCTTAAAACGTAGTTCAATCAGTAAGAATGTTAAAAGGCATGGGAAAAAATTCACTTGAAAAATTAATCTTTTTTAGAAAAAAAGTCGGTGGGGCATTTTTTTTTGAAAAAAAAAAAGAAAGATCATGAGAAAATTTTAATTTTTATTTTCAGTGGTTAATTGAAAATTGGAAAATAATACTCCCTCTGAATTCATTTATAAGTTGCATTTTAGAAGATTTATTTAGTTTTGTTTATAAATTATGGTATTATTTTTAAGTAATATTTAAAAGATACTTTTAAATTTACTTTTTATGAAAAAAATACCATAATATTATTTTTTAAATTTATTATGTAAAGGTACATTTAAAATTTTAAATACTTTTATTTTTTATATTTTTTTATATTAATATTGATGAGGTTAGTAAAAATAATTTATAAAAAAAAAACTCATAGGCAATAAAAAAGAAGCAGTAGATTTTGAGGGCTTGTTTGTTTCGAAGAAATTGGGAGATGGAAAAGGGAGAAGGAGAAATAGTCTAGAAAAGCAATTACACCAAATGATAGAAATCAATAGCTTTCATTGCTAACTCGGTGTTTCCTCAAAAACAAAAACAAATTTCACAACTCTGTTGCTCTCACATCAATTCCCTCCCTATGCAACTTCACAGTTCCATGGTTAACTCCGAGTCTCCTAAAATTAAACCCGTCACATTACCTTCTTGGATGGATTTCAGATCCATCGATAAAGGAAATCAGTTTTTTTTTTTTTTTAAATGTTTCTTGGTCTTCTACTACTATTTCGCTTTAACATTTTCTGCTACACCAAACTCACTGTTCAACCCCGGCCATTCTCGCTCTCTTTCTTATTCTCTTTCTCTTTTTACGTCAAAACCTCTCCAGCATCTCAAAAAGGCCCTTGGCTTGAGAGGCAGTTTCTAGGTAAAATCATAACATGCAGTCGAAACTTGGAAGGCCAAGGCTGGCTATATGCTGTCGCTAACGAGTTTCCACAGCTGGAATTGCCGTCATCACAACTTCCTAATTACACTTGTTCGTCAGGAATAACAAATTATTAAATGTGTTAGAGACGCTAAGTCTCAATTGATAATAAAGGATTCCCGAACTCACTTATCATATTTTACCCGAATATAAAAAATACATAAAACTTGGTAGAATAAATATTTGGTTATTACTAAAAAGGTTATAAATCGTAAATGGTCACAAGTCTGAAATGAAAATGAAAACTAATTAATAAAACTAAAAATTATGGGTGCAAAGTGTAAGTCTTCTGAGTGATGTCAGTATCCTCTTCTGAGATTTCATGCTCTATTTATAGTAACAGAGTGATGATAGTTTTTTTCTTAGAATTTGAAATGTTCTTATGAATAATCAAGGATTCAGTAAAACTCATGGTATAATCTTTAATCACTGTTTTTCATTTTTGGTAACCAACCCGTTTCGTCGAAATATTTGGATTTCCACAAGATTTAAGATCAGTTGAGATCATGTCTATACGTATCAACCATTCACATAGTAGGTTTACAACTGGTGAAATTTTGACATGTTTATCTGGCTGTGACTTTTCATTGATATCGAAGCTGACCTCTTTATTTAAATTGTTGATTGAACCTATTTCTTCAGTCATTTAATTCATATGACTTTATGGGCTGCTCAAACGCTTAAGCAAATAACATTTCATGTTTAATCCAAACAATACCATTGTACATCCAGTCGCCCCAAATTTTGTTGACGTGTTGGTTTTGTCTGTTTTAGCCTTTTCTATATATTCTATTATTTAACAGAGGGGATGGCCGTTTAACAACGCCTTGAGGGCTTAAGGGCCAAACTCCCCTGCTGCATGAAATCATTGCTATAATTGTATGGACAACTAGAATTTGAGTAAACTAGTAAAACACTGTAGGCTACCACGATGCAATTCGTAACCTGAACAGGCACTGTAACTACGTGGAAGAATATCACAGCAAAAAAAACCCTCTCCCATGGAAATGCAACAAGAGCGCAGTAGATTATAGATTTACAACACTAGGGTGCGTTTTATTGCTCAAAAAGAAAATTACGACACTGCAGCCCTCAGAACACTTCATCGCGAAGCTGTTCTTGTAAAAACCATTTATTCTCATCGCTCCATATATTCTCCAGCGAGTCTCCCTGCTCTATTGTCTGGCTCACGGACCCGTTTCCTATTGGATGACCCGTTCTTTCACTGTCGTCTGAACTCGACGTGACTTGGAGCTCCGATCCTGGACACAGAGGGCTGCAAGAGTAATTGGGTTTTCTCCACTCTGTTCCCGGCCCGTGTTGTTCTTCGGACGAGGCCGGAATCCGCTCCAGCAAGCGGGGAATCCAAACATATTGCATGGTATCCCTGAACTGTTTGCTGTTGACGTCACACTTGAGCTGCTTCGCCTGCTTTATCACTCTGGTTCTCCAGTAATTTTTTATCTCATTGTCTGTTCTTCCTGGCAAATGCTCCGCAATTTTAGACCACCTGTAACGTCCATCACGTGGCGACCAAAAACAAAAATAAAATTAATCTATCACACGAGTGGGTTAATCATAATGAAATATGCCGACTAGTACCTATTTCCCCAGCGAGAATGGAGATCGAGAATCAATAGCTGTTCCTGGAGGGTGATATTTCCACGCCGAACATCAGGACGCAAGTAGTTTAGCCATCTCAATCTGCAACTTTTGCCCGTTCTATTCAAACCTGTATTTTTTGAATTGCAAAATCCGAATGGGGAATCATGATATCCAACTCCATACTATTATAAAGTATGAACCACATAAGCGACCTCAAAGCTCTAACCATATAAGAGATATTTGAACTGTAAAACAGAGTGATTGGTGGATACCTGCACAGCGAGCGACGAAATTCCACTGACCTTCACCGTGAGCGGCTACGTAGTTGGCGAGAATGGTGTCCTCTTCAACGGTCCATGGACCTTTCCTGACGCACATGTCGTCTTCACTTTGATTTGCTGCAGACTCGCGCATCATCTTGGCATCCATTTCCTCTATTTTCAGGAAGTAAGAGAGTATTTATTGGTGAATGAGGCGGAGGTGGGAAGAAGTGTGTTCTGGGTTTTGTTACTTGAACTTGTTATAGGGGTATTCGGAAGTATATATAGAGTCGGACAAGACTATCTCACTCGTAAGTCTACACAAGAAAAGAGTGGATTGGCCAATGGCCACGTGCCACCAAAAGAATATAGCAGCAATGCTCTATGCTCAATTCATTTAATCTGTAAAAAGCAGGAGCCGCTTGAATAAATTATTAAATTTAATGCTACTATGAGAATTATGCAGTTGACTGGAGTTTGACCCATTGAATTCTCCTTATCCCCCAAAGGCACGCGCAATGAAAGATATCATATGCACTACAAGTTGCGGTATATCTGGTAAACGTATCATTCAACTGTCTTTTTATTCCATTGCCGAGTTGTTGCACTACGATAGGGTTACTAATTTTCTATATGTAGCATATCATCAACCAGGATTTGCAATTCTTTTGACTGTCGTGCTCCTTGCTTTTTTCCTTGTGAGGAATGAAGAGAATTAGAGACCACGAGCTGCACATGCATGGCCGATCACGAGAATTATCTATTGGGCAGAAAGCATAGAAAAATTCCCAGCACGGGCTTGTAGGGGTGTGACGACCCGCGAATGAAAGCAAAACTTGACATTTTCAGGCTCTCATCTAAGATGATCGGCAGGCATCAGTCTTAGCCACGTCCGATCTGATCATAGACTCGGATTTTATTCATAACCCGCACAGGAAAGCTGAGACGTCAATATGACTAGGGAAAATTAGACTCCGTCTACTGAACAGTGACGGAGTCATGAACACGACAAGGAAAGGGAATATAGGAGCTGACCACGGAGCCTTACGGTCATAGACTCGGGAAATTTAAATTATATGTTGAAGATGAAGTAAAATAAACCAATCATACAATGTGGGGTTTGGTCTGAACTGAATAAAATGAGTCTTCCCTGCAAAAATTTTCAATGCCCTCAATAATGAATAGCGTAGGATTGAATTTTATCCATACTGTTACTCGTATGAAACAGAAATGATAGTTGATGATAGTAACATTACAAAGACAGTCAGGTCCATTGTTTGCTGTTGAATCCCTGTGCAGCTGAACAACTGAACACGTCAATAGAATGTTTGCATTATGGAACCAATGTTTATTGGCCACGTGAAGAAAGATAAAAAAAAAAAAGGAAGAATGATGCTGATTCTGAATTGAATGAAGACGGCATATTTTAGGCACTACCCCCGAAATGGGGAGTAGAACGGAGAAGGAAGAAATGCCAACATTCACAGGGTCCGGGTTTCGAAAATTCACTTATTCCTTCCACGAAATTGCATTCCAGCTTCCACTCCCATGTCCTCCTCTGCTTCGACTTTTTAGTATTGACTGAAGGCCGCTTGTAGTCCATTAGTCCATTGACCGTCCAATATTCCATGCACCTCTCTTATTTTATGTGGAATTTTTAGGATAAGATATTCGTTTCTTAATTAGGAGGACCTCACTTTATTAGAGTAGCCATATTCCCCCCTCGATATGCCTCTGAATATCCTAGTTTTAGTGTGCCTACCAGACTTATCCTTTATCAGTGCCCTGCATGTCCGCTAATTATGGTGCTTCAGTGATAGTTTGGATCTTTTATGTTTATGAAACACATATTCGGATAAAAAACTCCACGCTTATGAGCGAGGAAGAGAGAATCAGGACCAGAAGGCGGTTGCAGAAGGTAGAGCAAAACGTTACGAATTGCTTGGGTTTATGAACGGAAAGTGGAGAGAATGGACATAAGTACTGAACTGGGAGAGATGAGGTAAAAGATTGAAGAGAATAATTATCAAATATAAAGTTCACAATTATGAGTTTTTTTTTTCAATTTTTCAAAATACCGCATTAAAATGGTAGTCAGTTCACTCAGTTGTATAAATATTCTGTTCCAGTCAGAAGTCTATTTTTCTTTCTTGTGCGGATCATGATAGCCGTAATATCTAATTCCTTGAGAACCCATAGAGCATGCTATAGGTTGTTTCTGTAATGATGCAGTTAAAATGGAACAAACTCTGCTTAAAGTAGTAATAAATAATCCATGATGTATTATACAGATATTCCGATAGACATTAGTCCTATGAAGACGGTAAGTTGCATGAAGCAACAGTAACGTGGTCATTTTGGTTATTACCTACGCATAAGACTATATATATATATATATATATATGTTGAGAAAGCAATTTACTTGCAGCGGGACGATAATAAAACTTGTTCATCGAATGTTGGGGACTCGGGGCATTCTATAGGGTCATGCCCTTCGGTGGAAGTCAATCAATTTATTCTGCAACGACTAGAGTGAGATAGAGGGAGGGAGGATTACATAGACGGTGAAAATGGATTGAGAGAGGGTAATTTTTTTTTTTTGGGCCAAAAGAGGGTAATTAATTAATAACTCTGATATTGGAATTGAATCGTGTTGTTGGAGATGCCCTGCTTTTATTCCATAGAATAGAAATTCCCATCATCTTAGTTGACCAACCAATACATTAGAAAGTTTGGCATTACTCATGAGATGGCAAATGTTCTTATGTTCCCCTACCAACAAGTATCCTTAAAAAAAAAAAAAAAATCCAAATGCGTTGAATTGTGATATCACTTTTGTTATCTGCAAAATCTTATTTCAGTTTTAATCAGATGGTTGCATTTACCTTCCATGTTTCCCTTTGATTAATCATGCATTACTCTTTGACCAGACGATAAAAGCCAAAGCAACGCGTCAACGTGTCTATATTGTGAATAACCATGAACAGAACATGAATGTAAAATTACAATAGCTGCATCAGCACAAAACCAAAGCGACGAAAGATAAGACATGAATCGATAGGCGGCGGGAATGCATGTATCTGTAGACGATCGATGCACGTTTTGTTTTTCCATTGAAAGCGAAAACACAAGGGCAGGTATTGATGACTAGTCACGTAACCTGTACAATACTAATGAAGAGACACTGATGTTGACGTCGGAACATCCCTGGTAAGCACGATGAACAGAGCAAGTGAAGAACAGCAGAACAAGATACAGTGGGTGGTGGTGTAGGTAAGATCATGAAAGTGAGGCGTAATGGCGATGATGTCAACGGGTGTTTGAATCGCACTCATAGAAAGGAATATTCTTCCATGCGCTGTATCATCTGCCCATCTTTATCCAATGAATAGCCATCGCAGGCAATAAGCAGCCAGACAATTCTCTTCATCTCCATCAAATTAAATGATATTGTTTGTTAGTATGTACTAAAAACCCACTACTTTGAGTGGTATTGCTTTCCATTATCATCAAGCAATTTTATTGAATAAACATACAGACCCCATTTCGTTTTAAACCGAGAAGCACGCCAATCCTTTTTCTGTTTTCCCGTAGGATCGGCTCTTCTTACGAAAACTTTGTTCGTCTAGCTCTGCCTCCCACTTGCTAAGCATTGATGGGCCCATTGGACGAGGGTGAGGCCCATGAGACCGTGCCATGACAGACTATAAACCCATCTAAGTTCTATGGTACCAACCTAGAATAAAGGGCAAGCATGAGGGCTGGAGACTTTTTTATTTTTTGTTAACTGGGAAATGCCATTAAAAAGGGTTGGTTTGTTTACGCACACAAGAGTGATGGATTTTTAGCCCAACTGATAAAATCTTTAAATAGTAGAAAAATATTGTAAAAAAAAAACTTTTTAAGGAAGCGATTATTTTTAAAAAATAATTCAAGTAACCTATCAAAATAAATTCAAAATAGGTTTTTTTAATGTGATTATTACCAAAAATGAACAAATCCTTGTGTCTAGCTTAATTAAAATCATGTATAAACTAAAAAGGAAAAAAAGAAACAAGCCTGCCTAAACGATATTCGATACAATGGTGTGAACTAGGTGATAGGTTGTAAATAGAGGACGCAGGAGCAATTGCCTATTCTTGGGAAATGGTGAGGGCGGCTTTTGCGTAATGTGGAGGGGATGGGAGTGGGTGCCCTAAAATTAGCAGGTCAACCGAATTTTGTTGACACGCTGCTATTTGTCTTTCTGTTTTTCCCTTGCTTGCTCCTCTTTCTTTGATTTCTTTTTCCCCCTCTGTGCTCTGAAAGCCAAGTCATATCCTTTAAATATGCCATTTTGCTATTACTAACTAAGTCTCTCAGTCCATTAGATATTTCCTTGAAAGATATAACGTCAACCATGTTGTCAAATAAGGTATTTCGAAATTTTAATGATTCCGTCCTACATACTGACAAGTGATAATATTTATCATTCCTCTCTTAAATTATAAAATATTTTTAAAAAATTTAATATTTCTATAAAATACTTTAATAAAAATAAAATTTTATTAATAATATTTTTAATATTATCTTCCTCATATATTCTCTCTCTTCAATTTTTTTTGTCAATGAAGTATTAAATAAAGAATATTTTTAAATATTTATATTCTTATTTTAAAAAAATAAGGTTATAAAATATATTTAATAAATTTTATTGATATATAAAATTTTATTTAAAAATATTTTATAATTTAAAACGGAGAGAGTATTAAAAATTAAATTAATTAATCAATGTGTTGCATTTATAAAGCGACTTCAGTGAAAATGGCAAGTTTACCACTCTTTTTTCCGTAACATTATTATTAATATTATTGGGTGTCAGTAGTACTCGTATTATTAAGAATGACCGCGGCTGACAAATTGCACACGGTCCGGATAATGGTTGGATTAATAGACCAAACCCCAAGCTTGTAGAGGCCTCGTGTCTTTTCATTAATTATTAGAAGCTCACCGACACGCCAAACCAAAGACGATGGTAGTCTAGTTAAGACGGCATTGGGCGATTTCGTTAATTAAAATTGAACTTTTTCTCCTCGAGGATTACAACAATTTTTTTTTTTAATCTTTGACATGTATAGTTACTCTGATTATTGTGTCCCCATTGCAGGAATTAAGAAAAGTAATTAAAAGTGTAAAAAATTATCACTATTTTTCAAGACTACCATCCAATTAAAATTAAGTCACGTTAATTAGGTA